AGGAGGATCGAACTTGAGTGCTGGACACGGAGCGGCTCCGGCATTCGGGGGTGGGGGAGGATTCGGGAGAGGCGGGGGATTTGGGGGCCAGGCCAGGGGCGGAAGAGGTCGGGGTGGCCTCAACTAGGGGTGCGGGCTCCGCGCGCATGCGGGGCCAACAGCGAAACCGGGGGACGGTTAGGTGTGGAAAGGAGGGAGTTGGCATCCAAAATCTTGGACTACGGACGGAGAAGGCCGCTCCATCGTGCATGCGGGAGTCCCGCTGCCGAAGTCCGTTTCGCTGGAGAAGGTGATGGGTGAGTGGTTGTTTGGGGGGTGGTCGAGATCGTGAGTGCATGGCACACGGTATGATCTTATGGCTGGTGGCGGCAAAGGCGGGCTAATGGCATGTCTGCGAATGTGCTTGTTCATGTGCTTGAAATTACGGTCACGGCGGGATGTTTTGAATGGGTGTAGATTTCGGGGTGTAAACAAAATGTTATTCATGCGATACTATAATACAATGGAGAAACACCAAAAATAAAATAAGTTAGGAAATAAAAAAATTATAATAAAATAAAATAAAATAAATAAACACAATAAGGAACAAGTACACAGAGGAAAGAACACAGTAGAGACGGCATGGAATCAAATAGCCATGCGTGTGAAAACGTTCAGTGGGTGGAAGAGCATAGGTTGGGGGCACGGCTGGTGGGAGGCACGGATGGTACAATGGCATTTTTTCAGCGGATGTGGCGTTCGAAGGAATATTATAATAATATGGCATGGGTGGCATGGGATGGCAGTTACGTTCGTTGTTTCTCCGGGGGCCTCGCGTTCACCGAAACACACGGCAGTAACAAGGTGGAGGGTGCATTCGTATGTTTCTCCGGGTACGTTAAGTACACCGAAACATCAGCACGGGGCAAATGGGAGGCACGGCAGGCGTAGTAAAAATCGTAACAGCGGGCGTTTCGTTGGCCGCACCCTATCGGTGCTTAATGGATGAATGGCAGGTTCAGGCAGTCACGATCGTGATAGTGGAGGAACTTCAAGTTCGTCGAACACACACGGAAAGTGGCAGGGCGGCAGGGGCATGGCAGTACGTTCCTATGTTTCCACGGGCACACCCAATGCACCGAAATATATGGAACTATACATGATATGGCATGGTTGGATGGCAAGGAAGGTCAATGGCAGGATTGTTGGTGTATGTTTCGGCGGACGACGTGTTCGCAAAAATATGGCGTGTATCGAAACAGCATGACACTTACGACGGCAGAACGGCACAATTGAGATTGCGAACAGCGATTATAAAACTCAGTACGTGTGCTATTTTCACAAAAAATTACCAGGCACTCACGGGTGGCAAGGTACCCTTCGCCGATTGTGGTTTCAGCTGCGTCAACAACTCGATGACGTGTTGCTCGGATCAAGGGAAGAAACAGATGGCGCGATTCTGATGCATCGGTTGGCAGAGGTGGCAACCGAGTTGGCGGTGCGTTTCGACGGCCATATGGGTCGCGTCGCGCATTTGCTCGGAGGGGAAATCATGGCAAAACACAGAGACCCTTTAGTGATTGCAAGTCATTTTGATCTTAAGGATTTACGGACATGCAGAGGCTGATGAAGGCAGTGTACGAAGGAGTGCCGGTTTGTGTGGTTCCTGGCGGCGATTTGGACGCTGCACTCCAATACGGCAATCACTCTAGCGCGTACCCTCATCAACAGACGTTGTGGAAAAGACTCATTGCAGACTTGGTGCATGGTCGTGTGGTGGTGCTGAAAAAAATGGCGGCTCGAGCGATCAAGCATCTGCGCGTTACTCCGCCAGCGGTGGTCGAATCGAAAGACAAAAATCGGGTGATACTTGACTTGTCATTTGGCGCGGGTCGTGATGGCCAAGGCTGGCAGGGAGTGAACGGTGACACTTGTTTCGAAACGGCACCCGTCAGCGAAATCGGCGGGGTGTTGTCGAGCATTATGAGACAGGCTTGTGCTTTGCGGGAAGCGAACGGCAGTGATGTTCCTATTTATTTTGCTAAGATGGACGTGGCAGATGCCTTTCGTCGAATTCATCTTGAGTGGGACAAGGCATCAGTTTTTTTCTCGTACGTTGTGGACGAATTTCTGGTGGTAGACTTTCGGATGGCATTTGGTTGGAGGAACTCTCCTGGGTGGTGGTCCTTGATGGCATCGGCGATTGTGCACTCACACAGGCAGACGAACCGTTTCAACGTGAAAGTGTTGCCGGAAGCGGACGAACTAGCGCGTAATGTGCAGGTTAAGGTGTCACCGCCGGGGGAGCCGGCCGGTCGTGCACCGGCGGGCGTTTCTGTGGCGCCATTTTCAAGCGAGTATGCGCTTGGCAATTTTTTCGGCGAGATGTATGTCGACGATATGATCAACCTGGAGGCGTGCTCGTACAGAAAGAAAGACATGTTGCTCGTGGCAACTAGGTCGGCTATTTCTGATCACCTCCGAATGCTTGGAAGCATGGCAGACAATCCCGTGCCGGTGATGTCACAAAAGAAACTCACAGACTGGTCAGTTCAGCAAGAGATTCTGGGGTATGCCGTCGATACGCAAAAGATGGCAATTGCGATTCCCGGGAAAAAGGTCGAGGAGGTAATGGCGTTTCTAACAGAATGACCGAAAACGCGTCGTTGGGCCAGGGCCAAAGAAGTATGGAGCTTAACTGGCAAGTTACGGCATCTCACCACGGTAGTGCGGGCAGGAAAGTACTTCGTGTGGCGGGTTGGGTTGTAACAGGGCTTGCCCATAACGATCAACACGCATCAACGGTCATGAAAAAATCCACCGTGAGTCTAGGCGAGGAGTTGCATGCGGATTTGGAGTGGTGGAGGTGGGCAGTGCGGCAACGTCTGCTGGCGGAAGGTGTATCTCTGTATTCCCCGTCTTACAATCATGTGCAATGGGAACCGACGCGACATTGGTTTTCTGATGCTACGTTAGAAGCTATTGGGGGGTATTGTAGCGAACGGCGTGTGTGGTGGCGGTACGATTTATCTCCAGAGGAGAAAAGTCGATCTTCCGATTCCGCGAGTTGCTCTCGGCAGAACCGGCTGTCCATCAATTTTTTGGAAGCATTGGCGATGGTTGTTAACGCCTACGTGATGATTGTTGTCCTCAATGATCAGCCAGTCGTCCCCGGGGAACCTGTTCTTTTTCGTGGTGATAATACCTCTGCTGTGACATGCATAAACAAGTGTGGGGTACTCGGGAGCCACGCGCCGCGTTTATTATGAGATGGCTGGGCATGTTGGAGATGACAGGGGGGTGGTGTTTCGAAGCGCACATATCCCTGGCGTTGAGAACGTTTTAGCGGACGCAATTTCACGGTGGGCACTCGCGGATATTCCTCGCAGACTAACTGAGCTGTCTTCTCCCTCTCGTGCGCGTTGGCAGGAGGTCAGGTTGGGGATGGCAGGTGGGATGGCATGTTCGGAGATCTTGCGGTCTTACTCTCGACGGTCGGAGTTGCTCCGTCGACTCACGCCACTTATTGTGCAGCGGCGTGGAAGATGTGGGTAGAATGGAGAACGGTCGCGGTGCGTAAGAGTGTCTATTTGGATGCGGCAGGGGGGGAAGAAGAGTCGGCTAACGAGTTGGCGAAGTACATGGCGTACCTGTTTTTCTGTCGGGGCAATACAATGTCTACGATCGCGGGGAAGCTTGTCGCGGCCAAGTACTTCCACAAACGCATCGGGGTGGACCTCCCAATGAAACATCATTTTCTTCGGGCTGTCAAAGTCGGTTTGGCGAGAGAGAGAAAGCTGCATATCGATGGTAGGACGCGACGCCCCATTTCGTGGACCATTCTTCGTAGCG